TAAAGTTCTTAGTAATAGATTAAAGTTCTTAGTAATAGATTAAGTTCTTAGTAATAGATTAAAGTTCTTAGTAATAGATTAAAGTTCTTAGTAATAGATTAAAGTTCTTAGTAATAGATTAAGTTCTTAGTAATAGATTAAGTTCTTAGTAATAGATTAAAGTTCTTAGTAATAGATTAAGTTCTTAGTAATAGATTAAGTTCTTAGTAATAGAAGTGTACACATTAAAGTAAAAACTTTCTTTTTTATTGAAAAAGATTTTACTTTGAAACTTTTCTTTTCTTTAAAATTAACAGGGCAAGAGTCCTAATAACAGGGATCTATATATATATATATATATATATATATATATATATATATATATATATATATATATATATATATATATATATATATATATATATATATATATATATATATATATATATATATTACATATTCACCTTATTTTTTACTTATATTTCACCCCGCCATTGAAAAATCGACTTTGACATAAGCACTTCTATGTATTCAAATGTATTTAGAATGTCATAGTTATGTAATACAATAAATTTTCAATTCAACAATGATTCAGACCGTTTACTTAGCTCTTACTTGTTGCAGAGAAGAAATAAAAGGTGCAATTTATCTTAATTTTTTCATGATGAATAAAATTTCTCCTTTACTTTGATTGCGCGTATTACGCATTTATTACTTCTGGGTATCTATAGTATGAATGGCTTTCCCTTTCAGTGATTTTTCAATGAGGTTAAGTCCTTTTTGTATGGATTCAGTATTTCAGCCAGGTTAATAAAGTCGTTTTTGTTTTACAGTTGGTCTGTAAACCAATGGTCTGCCGAGCCAGACGTTATGAATCGACTCTCTGCAGAACTGTCCTTGTTGAAGGAATTAAAATAAAGGCCAGGATCGCTAGTATAGCTCTGGAGTTCCACTTCGCATTGCTGATGTTAGGTATTATGTGTAATCTGATCACCGGAAAATTTCCCTTTTCCTCAAAAAATTGGAACACTCGAGTGAGATGAAACAAAAACTTTATATCATCTTTATATCATTTATATCTACCTGAAGTTTCAAAAACTACTTCTTTTTCGTTATCAAACTGTGTTAACAGTTGTTCGTACTCCTTCAACAGTTGAGATAAAAATTGATATTCAATGTTTGGCGATTGTGCTTTACTTCCAAATTCTTCATCCATAACGAAACGGAGGATTCTATCTAATACATGATGTTGACAGTTGATAAACTGAGGTTTGTTGATGGGTTTCTCTGTGAACATTAATTGCAATATTACAACAGCGCCATTCTTTTTTTCCATTAATAACGCTGGTGGTATCTGCAACAATCGTCTTTATTGAATTCCATAGATGAAATTCATTGAGGACTTTAGAATTTCCTTGAGAAATTGTTAAAGCTCTGCCATCGACCAAGCCAAGGACATCCAAATTAAGTTCTCTTCTTTCATTCTTAAGGACGACCACTTGATAATCGATTCTGTCAATGTGTTTGCCATCAAAGTGTAAGGACCAACTTTCCATATGCAACTTTTCTATCATTTCTTCCTTTAGCCTGGTTACTTCTTTGATTGTTGACTTGTAAATAGCTGATTGACGTAGAGTTGGGATGTCAATGCCGTCACGAGCCAATTGCTTGCATATGTTAGCAGCTTTGTTTCTTGATACTCTTGTGGAGGTCACCAAGCTGATTGCAATTTTGTTTTTATGATGTTTTTTTGCTTGGTGTAAGAGTTGTTTCATTTTCATTGTTTTCATATTCACTGTTTTCAGCCTCAGAGTCAGAAACACTAAAACCAGGATAGTAAGATGATGTGTTGAATGACTCATAAGAAAGTTTTTGTCTTTTGGGATGGATTGTTTCTTTATCGGCCGCTTGGCTGAAAATGAAAGAAGTCCTCAGTCCTCGGAATAAAATCATGCTCCATCCACTTCAGTAATAACATCAATTTTATTAAACATTCCGTAGCTTCTCTGTTTGATATAACAACTTGCCTGCATTCGTCGAAACATTTCAGTATTTTATCAAGCTTTGCTTGTATAACTTGATCAGATACATGAGGAAAATTTAGTTTGTTCTTCCACAATTTGGTGACTTCTTTGAAAATGTTTGCTATTTGCTTCTTTTTTCCTTTAGTTTTTGGTTCAAAGAAATGGTAGCGTCCGATATTTTGCTTTTGGAGAGGCATTCTGCACTATTTTTATATTATATATAAATATATATATATATATATATATATATATATATATATATATATATATATATATATATATATATATATATATATATATATATATATATATATATATATATATATATATATATATATATATATTATTTTAAAACATCAAGAAATATAGTTTCTCTCAATACTAATAATTTTATTTTGTATGAAATTTTTGCTGGGTTATGGATACCAGCATCATCAGCTTGTAAAATATTACAATAATTTTTTAATCGTTATAGTTTATATAAAATTGTTACTATTGACGTCAACGGTTCCATGGCTTCTTTTGATTTTTAAATTTTAAAAATGGAGTCCAAAACATAGTTTTTACATATTAACCTTCATCAAGATTAATTCCGCCGTTTCGTGCAGAGCACATGTTGTTTTGTATTTCTAGTGCCTCTCTAATTTTTCTTTCAAACTTTTTATTTTCTACTTTTAATGTTCTTGTTTTTTCCCAAATAATGTTTTCTTTACAAAAGGTTTTATGATATGCTAATGCAGATTGATTAGGTTTGTTTTCATTAATGCTCTTCTGATGTTGGTGCACTTGCGTATTTACCTGCATTTTTGTTTCACCTATGTAGACCTTGGAGCAGTTGTATTTTATTATATAGTTTCCAGGGTGGCTGTTTATTAACATCAAGGTGCTTTATTAACATCAAAAAACAAATCAAAACTGGGTAGTTTTGATTTGTTTTTTAATGTTAATAAAGATCTTAAATTTGGGTTTGATTTAAATACTGCTCTGTACCTTGCTTTTCGGAATATTTTTCGAAATTTTGGTGAAAGGCCTGGTACCCATGGTAAAGACACTACAGGAAGATTATTGTATTCTGATGGAATTGTGTTTTTATTTTGTCTTTTTTGATGAAGTTGGTGTGTAATATTCCTCAATAGCTTTTCATCGTACCCATTTTCAACAAACATGTCAGTTAAAAAATTTATTTTATTTTGCAAATGATGCTTACTACAGATGGAGTAAGCTCTGTGGATAAAAACTTTAAATATAGCTGTTAAAATATTTGGATCGTGATTTGAATGCGGTTTAATTTGAATGTTAGTGATTGCCTCACTAACATTCAAATTAAACCGCATTCATATCATATCATATATATATGCATATATATATATATATATATATATATATATATATATATATATATATATATATATATATATATATATATATGTATATATATATATATATATATATATATATATATATATATATATATATATATATATATATATATATATATATATATATATATATATATATATATATATATATATATATATATATATATATATATATATATATATATATATATATATATATAAGTCGTAATACAATAATATAAATAACTTTATAAATAAATTTACAAATATAAACAAGGTTTCTGATAGAAGATCTCATTCATCTTGTCGTCAGAACCTTTTAAAAGCGTTAAAAGCAACAACAACAGTAAAAATAAATAAGAAATTAAATATTATACAGTGCGTTATTGCATATTAGAAGTAAGTCATTATATCGTTTATAAAAAAAATATATTTTTTTTAGTATATTTTTAAAAAGTTCGATTGAAGTTAATAAATCAAAATTATTCAAAACAATTTTGTTGCAGAGATAAGGTGCACGATATCCAATACAAAATTGATTAAACTTTGTACGACAAAATGGTTCATTTAAAAAATTATCATTTCGCAAAGTATATTTGTTTATTTTTTTGATAAAAAAATCTTTAAAAATGGATAGTGCTGAGTCATCTTTACATTGAAACTTTACATTAAAACAAAAACACAAAATTTTATAAATGTTGAGTTGATATACATTAAGACAATTCGCATCTTTAAATAAAAAATTTGAATACGTTAAACGATTTTTAAAATATATTAAACGCATAGTGTGTTTCTGACGACGATAAAGAAGTCACAATTTACTTTTGTTTGTGCTTCCCCAAGCAATATTGACATAGTTAATATAGCTATGTATAAAGGAGTAGTAGAGTTGCATTAAACTCTTTTTATCTAGAAAATATCTGATCTTAAATAGGATGCCAATACTTTTAGCAACTTTATTGCTAATGTAGTCAATATGAGTTTTCCATGTAACACTTTCATCAAGAATTATTCTTAAAAACAATGTGGCGGCTTCTCTCTTTATTTCAATTTCATCAATAAATAGTTCCCAATAAAAAAAATGACGTCGGAACAACGTTGTTCTAACGTTTTTCGTATCGTTGGAAAGACGTTGGTATGATGTTATAAATGAAACACCGAAAAAACGTCATTTTACTAACGTTATTACAACGATGTAAAATGACGTGGTGACAACGTTACATTTTAGCTAAATGACGTCGGAAAGACGTTAGAGCAACGTTAAATTTGAAGAAAAAAGACGTTATAAGGACGTTAGGCTAACGTTATATTTTAGCTAAAATGACGTTGAGCCAACGTCATTTTAGCTAAAATATAACGTTAGCCTAACGTCGTTTTTTACACGTTGGAATAATGGCATATATGAAACATAGGTCAACGTTATATTAACAGTGTTGCGAAACGTTGTAAGAAAAACGCCCTCCAACGTTTTTCTATCATTTTTGATGTTATTTCTACACTGCAAAAAACAATAAAGGACAATTTTACACTGTATAACTTTGCACTGTCAAGCTATATTTCTTCTTATTTATATAGGTTATACACGATTATTTTATTTGTCCGGGCAAATAATTGAATACGGAAATTAAAAGACTAACAATAAATAAACATTGCATCACTTCTATTCCAAAATTTTAAAATTATATACAATAACTTAGAATGAAACTAGTTTGATTTTTACTTTCTTTGCAAATTTCAATCATATCTCAAATAATTCGCGTATTCTTTGTTTGACACTAAAAGACAAATATATATGAAAAAACATAAAGTTACAAACAAATCCAATTAAAAGCATTTTTAAGAACTAAATAAAAAACATTCGGAATAAACAAATAGAAATGCCACAAATACCAGAAATTGCGCTAACTTTCTATTTGATGCTAACCTGAGTTTTTCTGCTTTCGAAAGATTATCGACTGTAAATCGTTTAGCAACAATATCTGAAATAGAATAAACAATACCTCAATAAATTGCAAAACTAATGAAATTGCCTTTAAAATAATTTTAATTAAATAAATAAACAAAATTAATTTAAAACACACAATCATGAAATAATGAGAAAAAAATGTCTAGTTTTACCCTCAAAAAATATAAAATATCTTTGAGTTCAGATTTTATTTGTTTACAAAGTTATTTTTTTACAAGTGTTATTTTGGCAATATATTTTTTTATAATATGAATTGCATAATAAATAAAGAAACTGAAATGGTACATTTTCACTAAGCAAAGAATCAAAAATTGTTTTTATAAATAGCTCTCTTTAAGACTAATGATTACTTTGTTAGGTGTTTTTTCTTCCAATCCGAACTACTTATACTTCACTTAAACCCTTGACCATTTGAGCAAGTGGCATCTTCTTACCAAAAGCCAATAATTTTTTAAATAAAAAGGCAAACATATCAAGAAGCAATCATTCAGAAAACTATAAAAAATGAATAAGGTTATGTAAATTGTATGTTATGAATGTTGGACCATAATAATCCGCAGCCTTAATAATCCAGCCATCCAAACCAATTTAACAGCATTAATGCACAACCAATGCATTGATTCTGCTAAATCAATTTGTATCTTCAGTGCATAGAGACCAGTATACAAAAGAAATTAACTGTATGGCCTTTTATTTTTTAAAACTCCACCTGTGATATAGACTTTCTGTTTTTAACAAAATCAGATGGTTTTTTAGCATCTGATTTTGTTAAAAGTCATGAGACTTTTCAGAAATATGATTAATTTGAACATATGACAAATCACATACCTCTGGCTCCGTTTTTTCAAAATATCAATAATTGACGGACAATACCAAAACAAACTATATAATATAAACTAGATGATATATTATATAAACTAGATGTCAAACTTGCGGTCCTTTATTGAACAAAAAATGATGTCGCTTTTTTTGCTTAAAAATATAATTTGCCATTTGTAAAAAGTGTTAAAGCTGAAGCAAATGTGTGGAATAAAAGTTCAAAATGCGAGTCAAAATTAACCAATAAATTAAAGATAATTCAAAAACATGTCATAACAAATATAAAGTACTTATCCAGGTTTATTTAAGGTTTATTTCTATTTTAAATTTTAATCCTTTTTTATTTGAAAATAAATTTAGAAATCATAAATTATTACTTTACAAGTACTCTAATTTCCTCTTAACACTTTAACATATATAGATTACATATATATATTTAAAATATATTACATATATAAAAATATAATTACTTTATATACAAAAAAAAATAGTTAAATAGTATTTGTTTACAAATTTAATCTGTCATTTGTGAAAAGGACAAAAGCGGCTTCACTTTTTGGATTGACAAAAAGTGAAGCCGCTTTTGAGAGACAACTAGTTTATACCCAGCAGGCACAATGACGTTGAAATAACGTTGAAACAACGTCGTAAACCGACCATATGCCACGTTGAAACAACGTTGAAATTTGGTTGAATTGGAAAGAAAATCCGACGTCGAAAACTACGACGTTGAAACAACGTCGATGATTACGTTGTTTCAACGTTGATCTAACGTCTTATCGACTACATATTAACCATATTTCAACTTTGAATAGGTGATATATTCGGTTGATACTTAGTTGATACGACGTTAGAACAACGTTGAAACAACGTAAATTCAACGTTGATTTTCGTTTTTTATTTTGGTTAAATCCAATTAACTAAAAAATTATCTCAACTTTAATTGCAATAAAATAATACAATAAAAAAGCAATAATTTGCGCAGAGAATATTGTATTTCAAGTATATTAGATCAGATACAACTAAATTGCTTCAAGGGACTTTATATACAATGCAAATTAAGTAAAATGTTTGAAAAAAAAAGTTTTATTTATCTGTAATATATTTATCAATTTATCAATAATAACTATTATCAATAGTTCCAGAAAAACTAGGAAAAAGTATGAATGTTATACATCGGGTGAATCGCCTTTCACGCGCCGACCACCACCATTTGATCTGTCGAGTGCGTATTTTAATTAAGTCATTATTCCTTTTCTTATTTCGGCAACTGTAGCAGTCACTTTAATTGACAAGACGCTCTCTATAAAAAAAGACGCTCTCTATAAAAAAATTGCCTGAGTAATTTGCATCAAATACATCAAAAAGTTAAAAATAAAATAGCATTAAAAAAACGAACTGTGATTTTTAAAAATATATAATTTTACACTTAACTTACAAGTAAATACCTAATGTTTGTTTTTTTTTTAAACTTTAAACTTCTCTTTACCTTTACCGCCAGCCATATTAAATTTTGATTATAAACCATTGGTCAACAACCTGCATTATAGATTGTTATTATTATTATAGTAACATTAAAAATTGATAAACATGTCTTTTACAAAATACAAATTATTCTTAATGAAAAATTGCACAAAGGTTTCTTACCAATAGTTTCTTACCAAACGCAAAAGGTTTCTTACCAAACCGTAATGCAAGTAAGAAAAAGAATTGATACAGGGGAAGAGTTTGGTCCAAGAAGACCACCTTCTAAACGCCAGAAAACACCAAGAGCGGACAGTATAATCAGAAATATCTGCCTGAAAAACAGAAAAAAAGCCACTAAACTTATTGACTAAGCTTATCCATGAAACTGTAATTGTTGTGTCAGACCGGACCATTTGTAGAAGGCTAAAAGAAAAGGGATTGATGTCTAGCCAAAAATGTCAAAAAATGACAATAAAATTCAAAAATATTAAAACAAATGTCAAAAATCTTATATTTATGCAAGATGGTGCAACTTGCCACACAATAAAAACTGTTATGGCTTAGTTGATGTATTGCAATGGGCAGACAACTCGCATCTTAACCCCATAGAAAATATTTGGGAAATAGTAAAGCAAGAGATTAGAAAAAAAAATTCTCACTGATAAGCAAGATTTTATGGAAGAGATTATCAAGATCTGGCACAATAACCCAGAGTTGACAGAAACTATAAAAAATAAATTGAAAGCATGCCACAATGCGTTGAAGCAGTTATTGCAAATAAAAGTGTTTTTGCAAAATATTTATACTTTATATATATTTTATATAATTTATCATAATAATCAATAAATATTCAAAATGTTCAATTTTATTTGTTTATTTTTATCAAGTACAACTTTATAAATAAAAGAAAAAACTTTAAGTTGTACCATTATTTTATATATTGAAATAATGGTACAATTTACAACCTTAAAGTACAACCTTAAGTACTTTAAGGTTGTTCTTTAGCTCAAGGAAATACAAAAGTAAGAGAAAACAGTTTAAAAAAAATTCTAATCAGACATAAAAAAAAAAAAGATTTATTTTATGTCTGATTTGCCAAACTTTTAAAAATATATGCTAATTATATTTTTGACACAAGTTTAAAACAAACTATAATAAAAAGATTCAAAAGATTTTTTATTTAAAACTACTTTTAACAAACCTTTGCATCACATTTTTTGTATTTGTCTTAATGGTTTTACCTCCAATTTTAAAAAATTTGTTAACCTAAAGGTTTAAGAAAATAATTACACCACATTATTTTTATAATACGTTTATAAAAAGTTACAAGTATAATAACTTAGGCTAAGTTATTATTAAATACTTAATCAAAAAACAATAAAAAAAACTGCAAAAAGTTATGGTTTGAAACAACCCATCACTCCAGACCTCACCCAAGAATCATTTAAACTGATATCATAATCACTAAATTACTGCTGCAAGTTAATCCATAGAATTTCAGAACTATTTTTTTATTGGGCTTGATATTACTTTAATTACTGGAAAGAGATTTTACTAACATCTCCTTCTAACAATAAAGATATATCAGAAAGACAAAAGAACCAAACATTAATTAATTTCTAAAAACGTTGAAACACAAGAACAAAACATTTATAAAATAAAACATAATTCATAAATTAAATTAAATGTATTAATTTAGCAATCAATAAAATGTGTAAATCACTGAAGCATAGAAAAAAATGTTCAGAATCTTTTCTTCCTAAATCAACTTGCATACAGACAAATAATACCTTGAGCTACAGTATGTGGAGTATGCATAAAAATTGTTTTCTGTTTCTTTTTTTGCGTTACAGGAGTAGGTACTTGCTTACTATTCTGTTGGTTATCATGTTTTCTCTTGCATAAGCATGGTAGTGGTTCCTATAAAAATCAATATCAAAATAAAACTAATAATACTTGAATTAAATATGTTTTAAAATAGTTACCATTTTCTGAATCTGATTCTATCTGAGTATCACTAGTAGTGGCAAACTCAAATTTATCACCTAACTCATGATCTAAGAATATTCATTTAATTTATAAATGTTTTAAATACATTATATAATAAAGAATATATAATAAAGAATATATCTTAACACTGAAAACAACATATACAAAATGAAAGCATGTTAAAAAAACAAGTAAAAAAAAGTAATGACTTAATGTTTATATTAAAAAAATTACATTATCTCCATGACATTTAATTTTGAGCAGCGTAAATCTGTATTAGTTAGATGTGGTTTATGCATTTCATTGAAACAATTTATTACATTTAATGATGATGGCCAGGACAAAAAATTATCAATCGAATTTTCTCTCTTTATTTCTCTGTATTTTCTATCCAAACAGCTCAAATAAAAACTTTGCATGCCCTACTATACTTTTTCAACTGGAAAAGTATAGTAGAAAACATAATAGAAAAAATACTTATATATTAAAAATTTGTTCATGTAAAATAGCTAACAGAAAAATACAACTTTAAACTGTACGTTATGATACATTATACAGTTGCTAAAATTTGCTAAACTTTTATGTTGATCCTTCTACCAACCAATATCATGGACTAAAGGAGCATGCACAAATTCTTTTTTATACAACTTTAACAGAAAAATTTTTAAAAATTTAATACAAATTTTTTAATATAAAAAATATTCAAACTCTTTAAATCACATGGATTGGTAAAAAAGCTTGATAAATCATTATTTTG